CCACTGGTGCTGTTCGCGGGTCCAGCCCTGAGACTCTTCGTGTCCGCCATTTGATGGCCACATTGTCGCAATGGGTGATATCAGTGGCGTTGAGCGCGTGAGTATGATTGCATCGACTGGTGATTAGCCACTCATTTGAGTCGTCAATACGCGATACGTTTCACACAATTGTCTGTTTTGTAAACACTTTTAGCCACCGATACAGACAACTCTCGCTTTAGGTAACTGTAGTGTGTTTTAGTGGATGAAAACATTTTTAATGATGTGTGTTAAGGTATATTTTTGCTGAAAAATGTGCTTTTGTTTATACATTATGATTAGCTAGGTCTATTAATCAGTTTAATTTAGTTTTTAGGACTAATTGTGGTTGAAATAGGTGTAAAATATAGTATTTTGACGGTAATTAAACTGTATTTATGAGTATAGCATAAGTAACGTTTAGTAGACACAAAGTTGACGTATATTTCAGCAAAGTTTTTCCCCTGATACTATCAATTCATTGATTCTGGTTGCCAGAATCTGGTTCTATTAGTTTATCTGGATAATTTAGACCCTTGGTTGTTTTAAACATTTGTTTCAATAGTAATATAATCTATATTTCGGTTTTAATTATTAATATACTAATGAATAGTATTGTATTACAAATTCAATTATTAATGTTTAATTAATTTTCCAGTTTTCATTAAATTATCATTTGATTATCGGTTATCTGTATTGAAAGCTGATTATCGGAAACAAATTTCTCTGACTTTTATAACGAGTATTATATTTATATTTACTTTCATTTCTTTATCATTGTTTACCATTTAATTTCAATAAACATATCATAAAACTGTGATTTTATATAGCATGTTACTTTTTATAAAATACTTTTATAATTATTATAGAAAAATACATTAGATTTTTAGACAATTATAATACGAGTTCATTATTACAGTTATACGAATATCTCAACAAATAATTCATTTTCATTATTAATTTGTGAATAAAATGTTTAAATCACTGATTAATACGGATAATGATAGCAATGGGAGAGATGTTTGCAAATTATCTCCAATGCAAACACTCGTAACTAAATAAAAATTTCTCGCAAAATATCATTTAAAGTCACTTTTGCCATAGTTTTTATCGTAATTGTCATAACAGTGTTCATAAGGTTAGGCCTAAAAACGATAACTATTTTATAGCAAACATACGTCGAATAAAGGATTGATATAATAGTTAGCATTAAAAAAGTATTTTACAAAACGCTAGTTACGACAAAAATACTAAATGTAATGCAATTTCTATTATACTTTGAAAAAATACATTTAGCATTGAATTTGTAATAATAATAAAGTAGTATTAATTAGTGTTTCATATGGTGTTGTATTTATAGTTTGTGGTTTTCAAAACATGTCTCAGTATTTAAATCAAACATACCTGCTAATTAATTACATACTTGCTCATGTATTCATAAGTGTAGCCTATTGTGAAAATCAAACTTTTAAGACATTCATTGCAAATAGTGACCAGAATTTTACGACAATTGTCGACAAATTCTTTAGGAGTGAATCCATTCACCAGAATATCGCCAATTATGACATATTTTCACGCGATTATAATACACATACCATTTGTATTGATGATCACTCATGTAAGGGCTCACCCGAAATATGTTGTGTAGTGACCGAGGTACCTTATACTAAGATGTGTATCCATACAGTTATAGAAAGGACGTGCAGAGGTATGCCATTATAATAGGCTATTGTTATGCTGTGTTCAGTGGTATTATAAATTATTTTTCGGTCTATTGTATTGAAATATTTTTTTATAAACTTTTCATTTTAGTCATTAATAATGATTCACTATCTGTTCAATTTGTCCCTCAATTTAATCATTACATTTTAATGTATTAATTTTTGAAATGTATACAGAATTAATTACCTACATAAATATTCTCATTGAAATTATTGTAATATACAATTTTTACAATCATTTTAGGTAAATCCAATTCCTTAATAATAATTTTATTAAAATTTTCTGAATCAAACGTGTATTTATTAGATATTTATTACCGGCATTACAATATTTTAAGCATAATTACTACTTTCATTTGAATCAATAGTCGAAAAAGATTTACAAATATTTAAATCACTGAACAAATAAATTACTAGCATATTAGTAAATACCACCTTGATTATACAAATTACTCACAATTAAACTATTTTTACAGGTATTTTGAACCACAACTGTAGCTCAGACCAAAAGTGCGAGTCGGGTCTGGGACTTGAATGCCTACCCCGTCCCACATCGTCGCCACAAGACTACCCGCCCAAACAGATCCGGGGAAATGTATGCCAGTGTCCGGACGGCAAGTACTTCGACTTCAGTACCGATAAATCCGAGTGTGTCGACGGATCTAGTTATGGTAAGCCATTACCAAACCCTCCCTAACCACCACCTAATCTTACCCTACCATCCTACAGACTCTAAGACAGCTATGGAGATCTACAAGATCACCATGATATTCGCCTCGTGCTGCCTGGCCCTAATCCTGGTCATATTCCTTGTGTGCATATTACGCAAGTCTTACTGCCCGCCCCGGCAGCGACCGGTGCAGCCACTGGACAACTCGACAATACCGGACATATTCACCCTTTTCCCGCACGTAGGCAACTACGACGGCGGACCCCTGGGCGACGGCACTCTACCTCCCTTTGAGAAGCCGCCCACTTATGACGAGACATTGACTTTGATCCGCAATGAGATTGGGATACCGCCGCCGGCGTACAGGCGTAACCCTAATTCCAGTTCCAGTGGTAGCTCTTCGGGTGAGTCGACGCCAGATATGTCGGCGAGACTTATGGTGTCGAGGCCTCAGTTGGTGACAGTCAGCGATCAGACAAACAGTTCATATTTGACTACTTCGTCGTCGAGTGAGGCGTCCATAGCCGGGCCCAGTGGTGAGTGTCGGTCCAGTAGAGGTGGTAGTGCTCAGGGTATCGATAACCCGGCCTTTTGTTGATAGTTATCACAGTTTTATTGTTTATATATTATTTTATTTGAATTAAACTTATTTTAAAGTTTAATTGATTTTCCGATAGTTTTTACTCATTATCACGACTCGAAATGCATTTTAATGTTAATTTAATTATAACTAAAAATAATAGTTCAGAGAAAATGTGATACTAATAGCAAATAAGTTATTTTGTATAATTAGCTAGTAAGTTTTTAATAAATGTAAGGTGCATTTTTTAAAATAGCTATATTTGTAATCATGTGAAATTGTCCACATTTTTGTCACACACTTCTTAAGCCATTATAAAGATTGTCATTTTTATTGTTTTTATAAAATATAATAATATTTTATTACCAGACATTATATAATTATAAGACAATAACTCATATTTTTATATAAAGTACAACATCTTAAAATCTGACCATGGTCACAGTTATTAATATGGCCCCGAAAATGTTCAATTATTTTATAAAAGTTTTATAATCATTTCCACATTCATTCACAATAAATGTTGAAACTTAAATAAATTCATAGACCATACATGATACCATTAAATTAATTTTTAAAACTTATATTAATCGGAAATTTTAAATATTTTATGAGTACATTATATGATTTCATACATGAAGTCCTCATTTGTTAGTACAGTATGAAACTTACGGACTTAAGATATTGAATGCAAAGTGTTTAATGTTTAGTCTAGGTAGTGATATTGAAAAGTGGTATGTGAAGTACTTTGTTAATGAACTTTCAATTAAGAATTTGATTTCTAATCGATTACATACTTATCTGTAATATAGAGCTATAATTTTTGTAACAATGACTAACTCTTCATTTTAAGTGATTTTTGTTTTTAATAATTATTTATTATTTGAGACAAATTGATAAGATTGACGTAAACAATTCATTTTATTAAGTATTTGTTTGTTATTTCGCAAAAACATTAGTTTATAGATATACAAAACACTATAATTTCGATGACTTTCTCAATGGTATGTTTAGTAAGAATTTTGTTTACTAATACTACCCAGGATATAATTTATTATTAGTACATTTAAATCTATGCAATAAAATTTTATGGTTATTCGCATTTATGCTAATATAGGAAGTTTGCGGTAAATTGACATTGATTTTGAAAAATAATTTAATAACGGGTGCAATATTCATACAGTATAAAACTTTCAAAACTTTCAAAAAATTTTATAGCCTACAAATTAAATACATTAATTTTAGTAAATAAATAATTTAGCATGACATACTGTATATTTGATTGTTGTGGAAACAGCTATTTTCAGGTATGATATGATGGCAATGAATTACTATAATTAATATTTTAGTACATTTATTATCACAACAAGAATTAGATCATTAACTTTTAAATTAGTATAGCAAATACTGTACACATTGGTTGCACTCATTTATTTCATACAAATCATACAAAAATATTTGTCTAATCTTGAAATGCTATTGTTCTCCTTATGATAATCACGTAAACGCTCATATAAATTGTGATTCACTTAGCATACAGGTACATTTTATTCATGTATACAATATAATAACATCCGTTTTTATGATAAAAATCATTAAATCTAATGAAATGAATAATAAGAGAAACACTTTTATTATTATAAATATGTGTCAATAGAAACATAGCTATTAATTAAATACACGGCTAATACTGTAAACTTCAAAAAATAAATAATTAGTAACTATAATACTGTTAGGCTTATACAATGCTATTATCACTGGTCAAACTAATCCAGCATCTTTAGCCATCTTATAAAACAAAGTGTGTGAGTCCTCCAGAAGTACTTTCGGTGAATCAAACTCTTTGATGGATCCGTTGTCCATAACGAGTATCATATCGTAGTCGAGGATTGTGTTCAATCTATGGGCGATCGTAATGATCGTGCAATCCTTG